GGGTTTAGAGAAGGAGTGAGCCAATTCCATCTCCAAAGCCAGCTTGGTATATTTGGGAATTTGAGCATAGCTTCTCATACTACTTCCTGCTGGAGGAGGGTGCTGTATCTTATGGGGACACAAAGAAATTTTTAGGATTATGGAGTAGTCCGTGAGGGTGTATCGTTTGAGCCAGTTGCCTTGAAACCATTTTGGATGTTGGATCATCCGAGCCATGGTCATCGGAGACCTTTCAGGGGATCTTGGCTGGTCAAAACTGCTGTATTTTAATCTGGAACAAATCCATAGCCTCTTGCTTTCTGTGGAAACAAAAGCAGAGCTTCTTTTCCAAAGCAACATATCCTTCCATTCAAATTTTGAAGTCAAGGTATCTTTAAAATATACAAATTGACTTAATTCAACAGCTTTTACAACCAAATGTTTTTCTGTAGTTAAAAATCCCAAGGACAACACAATCCAGATTCTCTTATTTTTATACTGTCTTTACTGTCTCTTTCAAGATTTTATTTTTAAAAACTATCTGTTTATATTACTGCATATATTCCCTTTTCTCTTTTAAGCCTACGTGCATTTTTTACATACACTGTAAAAGCATTTAAAGTCTTGTTCCATCTGAATCTACCTTATTGTGAACCTCTTGCTTTAAATGCAGCATTTCTAAGACTGACACACCCGCTGTGGCTGGTGGCTCCGCCCACCTCAGCTTCCCATCATGGCAGTGGTACAGTTTACCACCAGCTCTGGGAGCCATCAACTCTTAGAAACAGTGGGTCTATGCTTTATCAAAGCATCGTGTAGCCCAGTAACTTTTTTTTTTTTTTTTTAACTAGTGAAAACTATATCCAACACACAGCATAGTGCGCAGCTTGGAGACACCTCTGTGTAACATTCGGGTCAAGCTCGAATGTAAGACAAACCCGCCCTAGTGTAGCTCAAATCCACAGACTGCCGCTAACTTGAGAGAGACAACTAGGAAGCTGTTTTTAGCTCCGTTTTAGAATCTTTTTTCTCAGGTTTTAGGTGGAAACTCTTGCCAACCTGTTGGGTGCCATTTTGTAGCTAGAGTTTCCCTGCCTGGCCCATGGTCAGGACAAATCTCTCACCCGCCAGTCCCACAGCTGCTCAGACCCAACCAAGTAAACACAGCGACTTATATTGCTTACAAACTGTATGGCCGTGGCAGGCTTCTTGCTAACTGTTCTTATAGCTTAAATCAACCCATTTCTATTAGTCTAGAAGTTGCCACGTGGCTTGTGGCTTACTGGTACCTTCCATCTCACTTGTCATGGTGGCGGCTGGTAGCATCTGCCTTCCTATTCTCTCAATTCTGCTCTGTTAGTCCCACCTACACTTTCTGGCTACTGGCCAATCAGTGTTTTATCAATCAGTCATCCACACCACTAAGCCTCTGAAAATTAAGCAAGGCCCCTTAAATGCTTTTTCTTAAGAGTTGGCTTGGTGAGAGCCTTCTCGGCACCATTAACACCTGCCTGGGACTGCCTGCACTGGCCAGGGTGTGGGTGAGCTGGCTCTGCCCTCCCGCCTGCCATGTGGTGGCATGGGTGAGGGAAAGATGCCCTCCTGCCTGCCATGTGGTGGCATGGGTGAGGGAAAGATGCCCTCCCCCTTACCCCTGTGGCAATTGGGAGAGCTGACCCTGCCCCTCACCAACTGTGGTACTCGGGAGAGCAGGCTCTGCACCTCGCCTGGGCAGCACAGTAGTGTTGACCCTGTTGTCAGGGTGTGGTAGGGGGTAAGCCAGTCCAGGAGGTGTGAAAACAGAAGAGCTGACCCCACACCCCTCACCTGCCAGGTGGTGGTATGGGCGAAGGAAACATGCCTTCCCCCTCCCTTGTCCCTAACAACCTGCAGCAGCAGGAACAGGCCTGGGGTGGGGACATGAGTGGGAAAAATGCCCTTGCCCCTCACCAATTGTGGCACTCTAGACAGTGGCCCTTGCACCTCACCTGGGCAACATAATAGAGTTGGCCCTAAAGGCGTAAGAGCAAGAGCAGCCCTGCTCCTTGCTGCAGTGAGCTAGCCAGGGAAATGCTGGAAAGCCTGCCTATTGATGAAAGCAAGCTGGCAGACTGAACAACCTAGCTACTGTCCAGGCCCTGAACCAGGGCTGAGTTTGCCCACCCCACCTCCACATGCCAAAGCATGTAAAGAGGGTAGAGGCCTGTCCTAGAGATCCAAAGCTGCAAGATCTCCATGACACAGGGCAACAGGATATCCAAGGAGTCCCAGTGAGGGCCGAACACACTCCAGAGGCCTTGAACCAGAGCAATGACTCATTGCAATGAACACTTCCAAGTAAATAAAGATGTATGGAATAAAGGGTACACTGTTTGGCTCACTGTGTCACACCACAGCTTCTATGACAAGATCTTTCTTTTGGAGGTGGGGAGGTTGCAAGGGCAGAGGGAAGGTATAAAAGGATGGGGAGATGGATGGGACCAGGATGTGTGATGTGAAATCCACAAATAAAATGTTTAAAAGTTGCCTTGGTCACGGTGCCTCTTCACAGGAATAAAACAGGGACTAAAGCATGTACATATGTGTGAAAGTGTGTATGTGTGTGTGTATATATATATATATGTGTGTGTGTGTATATATATATATATATACACACACATATAATTTCTTATAGAAAGCAAGAAAATAAAATCTCAAAATTTTATAAATTAGCTGCCAGCTTAGCAAATGCAGTATATTTACAATTTTTAAGCACAAGGATTTATACATTGTCACACATTGTTCACCAAAATTTCCCATCATTTCTAGATGACAATAAGTCAATGCTATTTTTGAAAAAAAGCTTTATTCATTTATGCAAAGATAGTATCAGCAATAGGTAATAGGAACATACTTTTAAGTTTAAAATTAATCTTCCATTTTGAAAGGTTCAGTACTTTTTTCTCCCTTCTCTTAAATACTTGACTCCAACAGAACAGCAGATGAAAGTTTATTCCCTTACTTTTCCTTAAAGTCATACGGCAACAATTACAATTGTTCTTTAGAATTTAGGGTATCATTCACAGTAAGCTGGAGATTTAATCAGAGTGATACGTGTAAGAATCTCACACAAAAATACAAATACACTGAAATAAACAAGGGACAAATAAAAGAACAAAGTTCGGGACACTTTCTACTTTTCTGGTATACTGACCTCTTGGTGACTTAAAAAGATTTTTGTCCTTCAGATACAGAATAAAATTAAGAGTTGAAGATCATTATGGACACTTGTGACATGACCCATGGTGGTTCCATTAAGTTAGGGTTAAGTGGAATCTCCATGTTTGAGGGAAGGGCTAATACAAGGCAGGCCAACAAGGCATTTTAAAACTCATGTCCACGGCAGGTCAGATGGTGTCCATCCAATTGAGTCCTTTAGAAAGGTACTGTCGTCCCATGCTACATTCTAAGGCTTAGCCCCTGAACTGCTCCTATCGGTTACTTGCTTACTTTATACCATGGAACAAATCCTGACAGAATGGGAGTACAGATTGCAAATGACTGTGGGCACAAAGGGTCTCTGCTGTCACCATGCATAATGTCCAATGGAGACCATCAATCTAAAAACAGATAAACTACCACTTTCTTGGGATACAATTATGAAACAAATTTTGTGGTTTAGAAATGTCAAAATTACCTACTTTGACTGTTTTGGATATATTTTACTTTACAAAAGGAAATACAACAGACTAACAAAACTAAAAATCTGTTTACTCTGTAACAACTTATATTTTGAATGTTTTTATAAAAATTTCTTTCAGATACTCTGATTAACTTTTAAGTGACATAAAAAATTTTCAGCACTCTTTAATATCAGTATTTTGCACAATTTTAAGACAGCCATTCAGTTCAGCATTTTAAGAAAAAAAGAGTATTAACTCACTGAGAATAGCTTATACACCTAGCAAAGTTTAGTTTTTGTCTTGGATTCGTTAAACAAAATTATACCCAGAATTTTAGATATCCTCATTACCATCCCAACCAAATAAATAGGATATGTGCATGTGTGTGGATTCTAGCTACAGGGTAAAATATTTTGTATAAATGTAAGACCCACTGATTGGACTGTTAAGAATCTGTTTTCCTGGGTTTAGATAAGGAAGACTTCAATAAAGCTACTATATATTGAGTTCCACTGATTAAAAATGCAGTTCTAAAAATTATGCTCTTGTGGCAAATGTTTAGACAAATAATAAATGTAAAGTACAATACTGTAAATACTGTACTGTTCAGGTACCTGTAGAGAAGTGAAATGCTTGTAGTCTATCAAAATTCTGACCTTTCAAAATAGGTTTATAAAATCGTTTTCTTGAAAATTAGTATTTGTTTTTGAACTCTTAAAATGCCAATTTCAATTAAAAGTCCTTTAAGTCTTAAAAGTTATTCCTTTCAGCTATTTTTCAATTATTTGAAAATTATTTTTTATCCTTTTTACTTGCAATTATTTTTCTTTCAACTATATAGTGAACACAAAACCAGTTTCTACATAAACATCTAATGAACAGATTCAACATAAAACTAGGCAATCTAATAGAACTCTTATACAAAGTCTGAGTGTGATTTTTCAACCCCTCTGTAATAGTGAAAACCATTCCATCTCTTTTAGTAGTCAACAAGCAGCCTTGACTACTAAATTAGCAAAGATGGTCAGACTTCAGCACTGCCCGGCTTCTTCTGAAGTGATGCACTCTTTTATCCTAGAAGAGACAGAAAGTCATTTTAAATCACTGAAAATTCCACACTACCACTACTCATCTATTACAAAATAACCAATGTGTTGGTTTACATTTAAATATAGTAAATGGGGAAAGGGAGAGCATTTGGAGGAACTCTGCAACAATAAATGCACCAACTGTTAAGGCTTTATTAAATGACAAAATTAAAAAGGAATCCCAGTAAACTCAGAAATAAGTTATAATTAGTACTTTTTAGATAATTAAATGATTTGGCAGGTGAACCAAAGACAGTGTAAAATTTATGTGATTCTTAAAACTATTCTTTAAAATTTTTTTCACTAGAATTTCTTTTGTGTGTACAAGCATGCATGCATGCATATGTGCCATGGTCCATATGGAGAGGTCAAGAGGACAATTTGCTGGTTCAGTTTCTCTCCTACAACATATGTAGGTTTCAGGGATTAAACACAGGTCATCAGGCTTGGTGGCAAATGTCTTTACCTGCTGAGCCATCTTGCCAGCCAACAAAAACAAAACCATCCAACAAAACAACAAAATAACCCCAAAGCTTGGGTCTGGAGAAATGTTCTGATGGTTAAGAGCACTTATTCTTCCAGAGGATGTGGGCTGGATTTCTAGTCACGTTTCAGCTCACAAACTGTTAACTCTAGTTCCAGAGAATCAGAATCTTATCTGGCTTCTGTGGGCACCAGGCAAACATAGTATGTAGTGCAGACATATACACAGGCAAAGCACCAGTATACAATTAAGAAAGAAAGAGAAAACTAAAATCCTCCCCAAACAACAAAACAAATCCCTACCTATTGTTTTTATTAACAATTGCATCTGAAAGAAACCATATTTGAGAACAGTACTCTATTTCAACTTGAAATCCTTTATTTTGATTAAAAGCTCTAAATCTTGCATACTTAAGGCTTAGCTTCAATCTATGAAAATGTACCATTCTTTATGAGGCAAAGGTAAGAAAATTTAAAATGTTTTCTCAAGGGGATTGGTCCTAGGAACACTCTCTCCCATAGATATGAAAACCTAAGGTTTGCTCAAATCTCTTATATAAAATAGTGTGGTTGCATTATACACTGGGGATCTTTCTGTATACTTTAAATTTCTCATTCTTCTACCTAATATGTAAAGTTTTATTGCATTGTGAAGAAAAAAAACAAAAAAAAGTCTGCACATGTGTTCAGTATAATTTAAAATATGTGCATATAATTGGTTGAATTTAGGGCACATACATACAGAAGACTAATATTTTCAGAAATATTTCCTTTACTCTGTTGCTTACAGAGATGTAGATACAGGGAAGTGAAGCCTTAAAAGAGAAAGGGAGTTAATAAAATAGTATTTTCTTTTCTCCACAACTAGCTTAATCTTGCCCTTTTCCTGGGGACCAGATTCCATTATGTAAAGAGTGTATGGCTGGAATGGTGGCTCCTTTGGTAAAGTACCTATTGTACAAGCCTGAGAACATGAGTTCAGGTCCCTGGTACCCCCTTTAAAAGGCTGGTATTAGAGATGCACTACTATCTAATCACTGTCCTTGAAGAGTACCCCCTTTAAAAGGCTGGTATTAGAGGTGCACTACTATCTAATCACTGTCCTTGAAGAGTTAAACAAGAGACAGGCAAATCCTTATAGCATAGGTCACCCAGCCTAGCCAAATGGACAAGCTCCAGATTCAGTGGAAGATCAGTTTAACACAGTAAGGTGGTGAGACACCCAAAGTCCACCTCTGACTGCCACAAGCACCTTCATGTGTACACACAATAAGGTAACATCCCATTAAGGTTAGGGTCTAGAAAAGTGGTCACAAATGTATGTTTTTAGTAGTTAGGTAGTAATGAATTAAAATTATAGGGCTCAAGTTAAAACAAAAAATGGGATTTATGATGGAAATAAACAGAGCATTCAATTTCAAAAACAGCATTTAGTTGCTTATAACAATATGTCTAGGGCTCCATGTGCTTGCTCTGTGTAATCAGGACAAGTCCTTGGGATCCCAAGAACCCCAACATTGACTGTGGGCCTCCATACACATACGCTGACTTACCTGTGAACATGTGCATGTGCACTTACGCACTTGCACTTACACACACACACACACACACACACAGAGAGAGAGAGAGAGAGACAGACAGACAGACACAGACACACAGACACACACACAGACACACACACACACACACAGAAAGAAAGGGGGGAGGCAGGGGTGGTGGTGTAACAAACAACAGCAGACCACTCCACTAATTTCTGATTCCTAACTAGAGGGGAAGAAATCTCTAGAGTTCAAAGGTAAGTTTTCTTGCTAACACCAGGTAAAAACTCAATTTTGAAGACGTTTTGTTTTCAAACAAGTCATTTAATACCTTTAGAACTTTGGGGCAAGGTGACTACTGCAGTTATATATTGCACTGTGTAGAAAAAAAATGAAACAATTTTAAATGAGTATCTTTTACTCATTATGCTACACACACACACACACACACACACACCAAAGTAGGTAAAACTTAGTGAAAGTGGGTAATAACTTTCACTGGCTGTCTAAGGCTAGAGGTTAGAAACGGAGATTGAGTACTAATAGGATAGGGTTCGTTTCTGGGATGGCTAAGACATTTTTAAATTTGACTTACAGTTGTACAATTAAGTAAATATACTAAAAAGCCACTGAATTATATACTTTAAATAAGTTGTAGGATATCCATATTATACACCTATCATTTACCTATTATTTCAAAAAAATCTTCCTCAAATGCAATATTCTCTCCACTGGACTAACCAGTGAAGACTTCAGAGTCAGACTCAAAAGTAAAGGGACCTAAGACTCTGTGTTCTATTCATCCTCATTTTATATTTGTAAAATGTCTTGGGACTAAAGAACAGCTCAGGAGTAAAGCATGTGCTTTACAGCATGTCTAAGTCCCTGAGTTCTAACCCCCAAACTAAACCTCCACAGAGAAAGCAGGCAAAACTGTAGTCCTAAAGTGTAAGTCATCTGTACAATGTGGACAGAAGATTAGAAACTCAATCTTTGCTAAATTCATTCTCACTTGATTATTTTCAACCTCCTCAGTTTTATCTCTTCATTCCCCACAAATGTTCAAATATATTAACCAAGTAGTTCTTTTGTTCTCTTTAGTACAATACCTATGAATTACATTCCACTATCAAATTTTTCTTTTACTGTGGTCAAGTTATTTTATCTGCCAACTCATGACCCTTTTATAATACTTTCCCATTTCTCTGTGTGTATGCTTGTGTGTTCCCTGTGTGTGTGTGCAGTCTTGTGTAGGTCTGAGGTTAACATCTGGAGTCTTTCTGATTGCTCTCTACCTTTTTTCATAGAACTCACATCACTGATATGGGTTGACCTGGCTACACAGCTTGCTCAGGATCCTGTCTTTGCATCTGAGGACTGCAGATCTTTAGGCAGGCTGCTAAAACCTACCTGGCATTTGTGTAATTCTGAGTCCAAATTCACATTTGCTCAGTAAGCACTTTACTCACTGAGCCATGTGCCCAACAGCTCATGAAATGTTTACCTTCTGAAAACTTTTCTTCCCTAAAGATAAACTATATTATTCTAAGACTTACACAGCATCCAACACACTTCTGGGTAAAACTCAACCACCATAATGGTTACCAGTTTGTAGTACACTTCATCAGTATAAAAATATATGCAGGGGCTGGAGAAATGGCTCAGTGGTTAAGAGCATTGGCTGTTCTTTCAGAGGTCCTGAGTTCAATTCCCAGCAACCACATGGTGGTTCACAACCATTTGTAATGAGATCTGGTGCTTCTTCTGGCATGCAGGAAGAACACTGTATACATAATAAATAAATAAATCTTTAAATATATATATATATATATATATGTATGTATATATCCCACAGGAAAAATAATGTTTCAGTGTTAACACATACACATTTTGTTCTGAATACTATTCTTGTCCTACCTTGAAGTAATCATCTTGAGTAACAAGAGAATTTCTCAGTCTGTTCTCAGGGTTAAATAGACAAGAGACCACTGTCTGTATGCTTCGGTCCACAGACTTCTGAAACACAGAAGTTTAAAGACTACATCTTTTATTCACTGCTAATGGATTTTTTAAAGTATACTGAGCATATACACTTCTAAGAAATTCATTCATAAATTGTTTATTTTATATATAGTTCTCCTAAATTAATGTTCTAGTGTCTTAGCAAATTTAAAAGGCTGTATTTATTAAGACTATGGTATTTTGCTTAAAGCATTTATTTTTCCTATTTCAGAAGGAATCAAGAGTTTTAATATTTAAAAGTATTTAGAGTGACATGTTAGTATAATAATACAGGCTGGCTATTTTAATTTTATATGTGTATTTATGTGTGTGAAGTTTTTTTTTTTTTTGAGGCTCAGTCTTATGCAACCCTAGGCTTGCCTCACACCAGCTATGTAACCAAGGCTAGTTTTGAACTCCTTATTCTTCTATTCCAAAGTGCTAGGATTACAGCTGTACATCACTGTGCCCTTATTTTCAAATTTTAAGATTGTACATCAAATCAGGCAATTTGTTATCCTCTTCTATTGTTTAGTAGTTTTCTTTTTTTTTTTCACTAACACATAAATAAGGAAACTGTCCACAGTGAAATCTCGCATTACACACATTCCCAACTTATCAATTACTTTCTTCATTCAATAATATAAATTAGAATTTTGGGGTGAGGATATGATTAAAGAAATGACTCTAGTTCAGTATCAAATAGTCACCATTTTAAAAGCTAATGTCTTATTTATAATGTCACAGAATACTATAAATAATACGTATTACAGCTGGGCAGCGGTGGCACACACCTTTAATCCCAGCACTCGGGAGGCAGAGGCAAGCAGATCTCTGTTGAGTTTGAGGTCAGCCTGGTCTACAGAGCGAGATTCAGAACAGGCACCAAAACTACATAGAGAAACCCTGTCTCAAAAAAACCAAAAACTAGTAACAAAAACAATAATACATATTACTATATAAATAAAAATTTTAAACTATAAAAGACATGGCAAATATAATTCATACTAATTGTAGACACCTAGCCACTGAATTCTACCAAGTCATATTACAGAACAGTAACTAAAATATGATTTAAAAAATGCAATCAATTAGAAGAGAGGATATGACAAAGAAATCAGAAACTCTCAATGTTTGGAGTGTCTGAGATATCATTATCTTGTACGTTAACTTCAGAGTTAAGTTTTCTAAGCTCTTTAAATTTTTAAATCTGGGCAAATAGGTCTATTCAAACAATCATTACTAATATAATATAAAACATGTAAAAGTAAATATAAAAACCAGTAAACAAAATTAGATGTTTGCCTTTTGTGGGCCACTTCCAGAGGCTGGAGTAGCTTCATGAACTGAGCATTCATTTGGCAAAACTTCAGCTCCTGAATCAACTTCACTGCAATGGTAGTTAACAGTTGTATATGCCTATATTTAAAACAATAAGAAAAAAGTGTAATTAACAAGAAACACGATACATTTCTAAGTCATTCATCAAAAGCTAAGCTGCTATTTCAGAAACTGTTTTCAACTAAATGGCTGAAATTAAGTCTTTTATTTTAAAAATGTCTTCTGTCAACATCAAAGTCAGTAGGAGGTGAAGAGAATTAACTATACTATGTAGTAATAATGGAGTACCCGAGAATTCTCTTGGTATACTTTTCAAATATCCAATCTTTATCTTTATGAAAGTTAGTTAACAGAAGCTCAGGTGTTTCACGGGCAACACCATCTTCTTTTATATAGTAATGTTAATGGTAAAATATTTGTTTCTCTCCTGTTTTCTTTTCACTGCAAACTCAGAGACAGATTCTAGGAAGACCAAATGCTAACTCTGAAATCTAGTTTTTTTACTACTTTCCTTGGATTATACATCATGCCAACAAGTAACCAAAAACCTATCGTATATGAAGCAGCCATTGGCTGGGCATACACAAACCATGTGAAAAACAACAATCAGTTTCTCTCTCATGTGAGTATATAACTGAGATAACAACAGAGTAAAATGCATGCTATAAAAAGGCAATTAAAATATTTATAAATATACACAATATGGCAAAAGAAATATATTAGGAAAAAACTGTCAGACTAAGCAGAGTATGTTGAGCTAATTCATTTTACCGGAGGTATAACATAACTCCTCTGTTCCCCAGCCGGCCACTGCGGTGGCATCTTAAGAAAAGGAAACAAAGATTATTTAAACACCTACACATTTTTACAAAAGAGGTGATAAGACAATGTTAAGGTATATAAACCATGCGGACTCAATTTCTTATCCTAAAACAGAACCAAAGATAGGTACGAGGTACCTTTATGCTTCTAATATCTGTGCATTTTTCAGTTCCAGCAATATATAAACCTTACATTTTCTCAATTGAAAGCTGGCATTCAGAGAATTTTAAAAAGACAGTGGCTCTTTGAAATTATTACTACAGCTATGGTCATGGGTCATAAATATGGTTGCATCTATTGGGAAAAATTCATGGAACTACTATTTTGTACCATCTAGCAAAATTATACACTATCAATCAGAATGGTGCTCTAAGAACTGGGTTGTATTTTCATTTCAGCCTAGACTTTTCAGGTATTTGACAGAAATGAAAGAATGCTTGTTGAAATAAGAACAGAAGATACTGAATTTTGTAAACAGTCTGAACAAATGTTTTTCCTTGTCAAAATACTTATCTCTAAATAATATTGATGCCTGAATTATAGAGTAATTCTACTTTCCTTTAATTTTAGATATTTAAATAAGCACACTATGCAGCAATTTTATATAAAGAAAAAGACCATAGTAATATCCCCAAGTTAATTTACATTTCCTTAAATTATCTGATCATTCAAATTCCTCCCCTCAGGGCTCAGAGAACCCTAGGAAGAGGAGGCAGAAAGAGTCTAAGAGCCAGAGGGGATGGAGGACACCAGGAGAACAAGGCCCTCTAATCAGCAAGATCAAAGCTCACATGAACGCACAGGGACTGAGGTAGCATGCACAGAGGCTGCACCAGGTCCTCTGCCTATATATTATGGCTTCCAGTGTAGTCTAGTTTTTATGGTATTCCTGAGAGTGCAAACAAATGGATCTCTAAATCTTGTGACTTCTCTTGAGCTTTTTCCATGCCCCCCCCTCCCCCGGTTCAATTTGCTACGGTAGTTTTTCTCATTATATTTTGTTGCTATCCCTTTTGTGGTGGATTGAATGAGAATGACCCCATAGGTTCATATACTTGAATGCTTGGTTCCCAAGGAATGGCACTTGAAAGGATTAAAAGACATAGCCTTGTTGAAACTAGTCTGTCACTGGGGATGGGCTTTGAGGTTTTCAAAAACCCAAGCCAGGCCCAGGGGCTGTCTCTTCCTGCTGGCTATGGATCCAGATGTAGAATTCTCAGCTACCTCTCCAGGACTATGTCTGTCTGCATGCTGCCATGCTCCAGCACCATGTCTGCCTACATGTTGCCATGCTGATAATGGACTAAACTTCTGAAACTGGAAGCCAGTCCCAATAAAATGTTTTCGTTTATAAGAATTGCTGTGGTCATGGTGTTTCTTCACTAAAGACACCTTAGAAACCTGTTTAGGATGAAAGTAGACAGGGGCTATGAGGAGTACAGAAAGGGGAAACTATAATCAGGATATATTATGTGAGGAATAAATCCATTTTCAATTAAAGGGAGAAAAAAATACCTGATAATTATAAACAGGCAGCTGATATCCAGTGATGACCTGAACTGGTGAACTTGGATAAGGAGGGTACGCCTGATAATAAAATTCACAAAAAATTGGATTAATAAATTTGAGAAAATGAGAAAGAGTATCATTCACAATACAACAATAAAATGTAGTTTTTTTTCTTTTTCTCTATATAGCAATTCAGGAGTCTAAATGATTGGCTTTATGAAGAAAATATTCCTTGTCAAATGATAACCTATTACACAGGAAAGAGGAAAAGACAATAAATGACTGCTTTTCTAAACCAATATTCACCTTAGGAAGTCACCATACACAGACTATACATACATATGGTTCTAGAAGGGGAGTTAAATAAATCTATCTTCTGTTTCTCTATGAAAATATTTTCACGGAGTATGTAATTGTAGCAATGTTAACAGAACAGATAATCACTAATTTTTCTACAGCCTTATGATTTTTCTGTGTTTAATTTCTAAAAGTTAAGAGAATTACTTTAAATTAAGTAATTTAATCAATGTTTTCTATACTTCAGTATTTATTGACTGAAAGCAAATAGTACCACACATGAATGCCTTGTATCAGCAATGAATCACAGTAAATATTAGGAGTAAGTATGGATTTTCTTCTAAGTCATATTTGGAGCAAGAAAAATAAGGCAAAGAGACAGTCTATATTCTACAGAGAGAAAAAAAATATATAGGTTTTTATTATTCTTTTCTGGCCAAAAAAGGTCCCTCAAATTGAAAAAGTAAAATGTACCAAGAATGTTATTTAGCATCAATAGGCATAGTAAGCATGAAAATTTAAATATTAACCCAGCTCAAATTAAATTCAAGAACCTTATGATTTATAGATAAAACCTATCAATTCCCAAACTAAAATAAACCCAGGTGTCAACAACCTACACGAGGAGGCATTTGGAAATCACGAAAGAGCTGATCATCTTTGGGAACAATCAACATACAAAGCTGTTTCTGAGCAGTTAAAGAACTTCTTCAATTTGAAAGACAGTTTTTCCAGAAAAGAAAAAGGTTATAGTAAAATTCTTCTATATATACTATTTGTGTATGTCTGAAATACAGACCCATGGAAAAAAAGGAATATATGTAATGTGGCTACCAAGGCTCTAGGATAAAGGCTTACCAACTACACAGAGGCAGGTTTCGGCTTAGCATAGGGAAAAAAGCACTAAGAATGAGAGAGTATAAACAAAAGGAACAAATTCCTCATATTTGAAGTATTCCAACAAGGACTGAACTGTATTACACTTACCATCCAAACCATACATATGATTGCAGAGCTCAGGCAGACTACTAACAAACCTAAGAAGAATGCAAGCCATTGTTACCTGAACATACTGAGTTATAGGATTCATCATGGTTGGAGGCTGCATGTATGTCTCAGCATTTGGACTACTCCAAACACTCTGAAACTGCGGTGGAGGAGGAGGATTAAAAATCAAAGGACGTGGCTGCACATGATAAGTACCTTTAAAAAAATAATAAAAAGAGCAACACTTATGTCAAGTCCTCTGAAAAACCTGAGCAGTTTCATCAAGAACAATTTCTGTTTTGACTCACATAAATTTTGTTTCCTGATTGCAGGGCCCAGTTTCAGCTTTTTACCATGGAAATTTATCTGTGACTAAAAACAGTAACAAACGATAAAGTAATACTTCATTTCCAAGACTTGGCCAAATACTACTGTGCTCAGCCTTACAACTCTAATCAAAGTATCCCAAAGCATCAAGTTAAATTTAGTAAAGCCATTCATCCCATTTCTAACTCTGTCTCTAGTTGATAAAACTAGAAGCCCCCAAGCAAGTAGGTTCTGTCAAGTTACATAAGATTACATTTTTTATTTTAAACAGAAAGGAAGCCTATTTTTCTCTGTATTTTATATAAGACTGAACACACAGAACTTTTCAACTCTAAAGCATTGCTAAAGAATTTTCTGTAAGACTATTACTTACTTCTACTATCTTCTGCACATCCACGTCATTATAAAATGAAACAAATCCATAGCTAGAAAGGCAGATAAATAAAATACAAAATTATAACTACATAGTACCATGGTTACACCTTCTAACAGTCTATAAAATAGCAGAAGTGGTAATGGTAGATGAATATACTGTGATAGATATGCTAATACAGAGGTAACAGTTCCTCTATAAATACCACTGTTTCCTTAGTCTATTATGTCAGAATGTGCTAATATTAACATTCATTAACAAAGATTATCTAAGGCAAGACAGCTAAAATTTAAGATACTGTGAAATGTGCCAAGAAAGTAATTATTTGATAACCCATTTGTGTGAAATAATAGAAAGTATTAAAATACAAATACAAGGAAAATGACTAAGTAAAAGAACTGATTAAAAAACCTTTTATCCATAAAATAAATTATCAAAAGCAAGAAATTCATTAATGTTAGAATGAATGCCCACTTTGAGTCTTGTCTGATATCGGGTGTCTCTCCAGCATGCTTAGTTCTATAAACAGTAGCTATAGCAAGTATGTTTACATACCCCTTTGACACACCAGTTCGATCAGTGATTATCTTCACTTCTTTTACTGAGCCGTATCTGGCAAAGAAACTCCTGATTTCAGTTTCATCCATCTATGAAAAGAAATGAACTTCAAGAGTAAAAATTAAGCATTCAAGACTTCTAATTGAATTGTGAAGAGATTTGATTATGTGCAAGACAATCTCTGGTGTCACAAAATTATTCCATTTCATTGAATCTATTTTTAGATTCTATGGGTTAAAACCAAACCTGCATAAAATTTAAAACAACGAAAAACCCTTTTAGGTCTACACATCAAATCCCATCATCCACCACATTTTAGATAATTAAAATTTACTGAACTCTCAACTATGTTGCCAGGGCTCCTCTTGGCTCAAGCCCTCCTCCCACCTCTTCCCATCCAAACACTATGTGGCTTCACAATGTATTTAAAGTAAAACAAAATATGAATACAATACCCTAACATCAATTCCACCAACAAAAACGGTGTTTGGCATAATTTTGCCTTCTGGCAAAACATATCCTTGACTGGTGGCTGCTGCTGAAGACTGGATGCTGGCCTCCCTGGAGACAGCTGAATTTGGAGTCTCAGAAGTTGTGGCAGACTGTAATTTAGAAAATAGACTCATAAGTGGATTCTAGATATAAAATAAAGAACAACCAGACCACAACCCATAGAACCATAGAGGCTATATATATAGCATGGAGGTCCCTAGGACGACTGTGGCTTATAATCAATTTCGGTTATACTCAATTATTGAAAAAAATAGCCAAATGAATGGAAACACATGAACTATGAACCAAAGGCTGAGGGGCCCCCAGCTGGATCAGGCCCTCTGAATAGGTGAGACAGTTGATTGGCTTGATCAGTTTGGGAGGCATCTAGGCAGTGGGACCGAGTCCTGTGCTCATTGCATGAGTTGGCTGTTTGAAACCTGGAGCTTATGCAGGGACACTTGGCTCAGTCTGGGAGGAAGAGACTGGACCTGCCTGGACTGAGTCTACCAGGTTGATCGCAGTCCTCAGGGGAGGACTTGCCCTGGAGGAGGTGGGAATGGGGGGAAGGCTGGAGGTAAGGAGAGGGGGTGGGAGGGGGGAGAGAATAGGGGAACCCATGGCTGATATGTAGAACTGAATGGTATTGTAAAATAAAATAAAAAAAAAAAGAAAGAAAGGAAAAAGAAAATAGACAACTAAATACACACACACACACACAGGACAAACTACGTGAAACATACCTTTTGTATTTAACATAAACTAGTGTTACTCTAAATTACCTACCAATACAGAACTGGTGTGAAAATTAAACAAAAGGATGTAGTACTATCTGAATTACGATGCTTCTCACTGTCATCTTTTTTTAAAATGGTCCCCATAGACTCACAGATTTCAATGCTTGGTCACTATTTGAAAAGATTAGAGGGGGTGGCCTTGTTGGAGGAAGTGTCTCTAGAGATGGGCTTTAAGATTTCAAAAGCTCAACCAGACCCAGAGGCTCTCTCTCCCTTGTACCTGCGGATCCAAATGTACACTTCTCCAGAACTTCTGCCTATATGCTGCCATGCTTCCTGCCATGATGTGGACTAATCCTCTGAAACTGTTAAGCAAGGTTCAGTTAAATGCTTTCTTTTAGGAGAGTTGCCATGATCACGAGGACTCTTCACAGCAATAGTAAACCGACTAAGGCAACAGTCCTCATTCTATATTTTACTCTATGTGTGTGTTTTGCCTGCTTGCACGTATGTGCACTATGTGTATGTCTAATGCCTGCAGAAGCCAGAGAGGGAGCTAAATTTCCTGGAACTGAAGTTACAATTTTGAGCTGTCATGTGGGTCCTTCTCCAAGAATAATAAAAGTGCTGTTAACCACTGAGTCATCTCTCCACCCCATTATCTTTCATACCATATCGTGAAACAATACCAACTTTATTTCATACAATGTATGAAAATATTGTATTTGATGAGCTGTGTGAAAAGTTCAGATCTATGAAGACTAAAACTACTAAAATCATTATGGATATACTAATAAATTTTCATTTTACTGGGTATGTTAAATCAAAAGCATATAAAAAACTCAAAATATACAAAACAACTGTTTAAAATCCCAAACAAAAAGTAACTCTTAGATAAATCGTTTTCCTTTGCCTTTCTATTATCAAATTAACATGAATTTTAAATTCATGAAATAACATAAGTAAAAATATTATATAGTAAAAAGCGAAAGGTGTCAATTTGTTTTTAGAAGGTTTTTATAAAGTTTTTAAATAAAATAAAAATCACCTTTGGTTTTTTTTCTAACCACTTAAGCTATTATTTTCTATTTTGTGTTCCTACTTAACAACAACTTTATTCCTTTGTAAATTCCCTTCAACAGTGATATGGCAGGGAGTAAAAAGATTATTTTAAAAGTTATTTCCTTCTTTAAATGTCTTACAATTTTATTTTTTTTCTAAATGGGACTACTACATATGCTATATATCTTCAACTATTTAGAACTTGACTAGATATGCTTTGCTAGCAGACAATCTGTCCATCTCTTCTCAATTTTTTTCACTCAGAAATAAATTCAAAACATAAAACAGTGGTTCTGTATTTTTTATAGAACTTCCTTTCTCAATTTTCCCTTCTTTTACAAATGAATACAGTATATGTTTATTTGATAAATAATTTTTATTACTGGTGTTTGTACCACAATGTATAGATGCTTTTTAATTTAGAGGAGTATGTAACATTTCACCTGTGTCAGAGTCTAAGAAGTTATAAATGAACTGATTCTCAGTGCTACAATGGCACTTAGTATCTAGAGACATTTGGTAAACTTCTGACATATGGTATGTAGGCAGCCAGGGATACTACTTCAATTAACCCATAATGCCAACAGCCTCCCAAACAAAGGGTTGCTGGGACCAAAACCTATATAAGGATGTGCTGAAAAATCCTGTTATGTATGGTATCACTAGAATTGAAGAGGAAAATAATTGTTGGGGAAAAACTTGATTTTTTTCATTGTCCACTAAAGTAACTGTTTTCAGGATCTTGATTTCCTTGCTTGAAAAGTAATTAGAAAAGATCTCAAATGTCTTCTATAACTGTTTTCTTTATACAAAAGTAAAATGGACGTTTGAAGACAATTTAATAAGGAAAAAATAAAGCATCAAATACTATAGGATACTTGATTTTGGCTTAGGCTTCCTACTTAATAAGGATAGGTACAAAATCTGTCTCATCTTAATAGTGTAATAATGTATTAAATTAAAGAAGGCACACCATATCCTGGTCTTTATCCAGTAGGTGGCACTCAAAGCTAACAAAGCAAAGCACTCCATTTTAACAAGCCCTGAATCACAGGCAGAGTGCTTACTGTATGCTTCATATAGTGTTATCTCAAACACCCATAACCAACAGATGATCTCAAATACCCATAACCTACAGATGTTTTTACTTTTTAAACATAACCCAAACCACTCTACAACCAAATAATCATTAAGTCAAAATTTAATGTTCAAAACAGTGTAATTTTTAAACTTCATTTATTTAGAGACAAGGTCTTATATGTAACTCTGGGTGGCCTGAAGCTTGCTATGTAGACTAGGCTGCCCTCACTCATGGAGTTCCCCCTGCCTCTGCCTCCTCAGTATTATTTTTAATGACAGTGTTTCAAGTTGCCAAGGTTGGCCTGGAAAGTTAGCCTGAAACTTCTGAGGGGTTCAAGTGATCCTCTTGCTTCAGCACCTCACCCCCACTGCCTCCAGTACTTGAAATTATGCACAAAATATACTGAGCCTGGTAGAAAAATGTTATCTTACCCCTCAATAGAATATAGTAGCATACTGAAAATAAGCTATTAAATGTAGGACAATTTATCAATTCTATCTCCAAATGAATTGTGGATTTTGAATTGAGAAATTATTAGGATACTAACAATGAACTTAGAGGCTATCATTTACAAACTCTCCACAGTACATTGTATTTGAATATCCACATATTTAAAAAAAGCTAGATGCTGAAAATACTATTAAAAATTGTAGGATAATGTCTCTAATTAAATCACCATGCCAAGCAAATTGCCACGTATGTTACAAATATTGGCCAAGATAAAGTCTGCAGTCATCAAATTTTTAACTAATGGAGTGAGAAAACTGTCTATTACTTATGTGATTTTAATTATTGAGATGGACAACTACTAATTTCACAATTACAAATGTTTACATGAAATTGTCCAAATTAATTTTAACGTTCGTCAAAATATAAGTTTTCTTCCTTTACTTCTAAAATGGAAAAAAAAACTGTATAAATAAATATACAACGTATGATGACAGGCTTGTGACTTAACGGCTACTAACGCCGTGGTCGGTACTGCTCCCGGGGCAGGGTCCCCGCTCTGGAGGCCGCCCAAGCGAGCCTGGAACTCAGTCTCCTCAGCCTGCCTCCT